TCAGTCAGGTTGCACTTAAACCCACTGCTCCAAACAGAGAAAGCAGTAGCCTCCTCTCCCTCCCTGGTTTCATCTTTTATAGCATTACTCATCAGGTCTGACTCCTGCAAACAGGGCAGTTAGGCTGAACAACAATAGCCCGACTACTAATATGGAAACCAACCCCACCTTCCATCTTTGTAGCTGGCACAATGGACATATATATTGCCTCCCAACATCCCTGTGGGTTAGTAAATCACGTTTTACTATCACATGTTAGATGACCAAGTTGAGGCCTAGAGAGAATGCAAGATACAACCAGCAAATAAGAAAGACAATGTTGTAGCTGGGCTTCAAACCTATGTCTTTCTACTCTTAATCTTGAACTCACATTATCCAACATCACAGCCAGAGACACAATCCCTCCTCCTTCCTTCCACACTAGGTCAATGAGGCAACCTTCCTAAGTAGACAATCTGAAATTAAAGCCTTCTTCTGCTTTTCCAGGAAGGAAAAAACATACGCTTATCTGAAATCAGATTGTCCTAAGTGAGGGCTAACAGTGTACTTGCATGAGCATGAAGCACACCTGTTTACATTGTAGTCAGCATCCCACACCTGGCTTCCCTGGGACTTTTACCCTCCACAAACAGCCTTCTCTCACTCTGCTAGAATCATGGCTCATTCACTAATTAAAGGGTATTACGCACTTCATTGCACATCAGCTAAGAACTTGGAATAAGAAAGCTTATGCTACAGCATTAGCACTGGAGATGCCACTAGGTATGCTTCATAGAAAAAGAAATACAGAGAAAAGCCATCCACTTGTGACATCCCTTCCCCCATACTTAACTTCTCTAATAAGTCAGCCACCACACTTAGAGGAAGAAGTCACCTAGCATGGTACAACCCCAGATAGAGCCTCATAAATAAGCGAACTGGAGAGGGATGTGCAGTAGAGACAAGGAATAAGAGAAGGCCGGTCAAGTGGCTTCTCCAGCAGCCACCTGTCCAGGCTCTCTGCTCTCTTCTGGTATGGCAGCCCAGTAAGAGGGATACTTATATCCCAGGCCAAAAAAAAAAAGACAGAGAGACAAGGATGAGTCAGGAGGAGTACTCCTCACTGCAAGGTCTTGAGCAAACTCAGCATCTTGTTCCCTCTAGTAAAGGCTCAGCATTGCTGCCCACTGTGCCCAGGCTGGGGGCAGAGACCAGCCTTCCTGCTGGAGCCTCCTTGGGCTGTCTTGGAGTAGATGTTTTTTCTGACACTCCCTGAACAACCTGAACAGCAGCACTCAGGCTCACTCCCTTTTCAATGATGGGGAAAGTCACACATAGAGGGTCAGCCCAAGGAATGGACACTCAGATAGATTAGTCTTGAACTTGGTGAGGACAGCAGTTAATGACATGCCACTGACAGAGCAGTAAACCTTATCCACAGGCAATTTCACTATTTGGGAAACATTACAAAGAGGTCAAAAGCTCAGGCAAACTTTAAGGTCTGATCTTAAAGGCCTCTTGGGACCCCAGCAAGTCAAATGATGGTCCAAGTATAAAACAGTAGCCTGGGGTCATAAAACATTTACTTCTAAATGGAACTTAGACATGGATTCAGAAGAAGCCACCAGTTGGACATGCAATCAGGAGGAAGCTAGAGAACTCAACCCAGAGTCTGCTACTTATTACAGTTTCTCTCTGTGTCACCCTCTGTGTCGTCTGTGTGTTCCATGTGTGTTCAGGCAGACAGAGGAACAGCTGAGTGCATTTCCAAGCTGCACGGTGCAGTGGTGAAGCTGAGCGTTGCCAGGCGCTAGAAAGAACGGGGTGGAATGTAGTGATGGCTTCAGCCTCCAAGAATAAGGCATTTTCTCTATCTCTCCTCAAGCCACCTAAGACATCATTTGTGCATGACATGTTTTAGGATCCTGTTGGCTCCATTTAGAAGGGCTTCCAATATTACTGGTCCCTTCCCCCAGCTCAGACTGGCTTCCTCTTTAGCATACACCGCTGCCAATTTTGCTGTGCTCTTCCTCACAAGGCTTAAAAGGGATAATACAAAACAGCTCCTCCAAGAAACAGAGTTCTAGCACACAGACTGTGAGAGGCAATGCCCCCGGCGCGCTGGGCTTTTTTAGAATCAGAGATAGCCAACAGCAGTCACAGAGGCTGCAGGCAGAGACTGGTTATGACATTAAAAGAACCTCAGAGCAAGAGGCTGGTGAATTCAAGAGGGGGTGGGGAATGGATGCAGCACAGGAAAGGTAAGAAATGTCTTCATTAGGCAGAGGACCCTAGACAAGTGCTGGTGTCACAGGTCAGCCCTTTCCAGCTGCTACACCTGCTGTTCCCAACTTGCAGTTGCATTTTGGTTCAATGTTCTGAGACTCAAAAGCTCTCAATCCTCACTAAGGCTGCTATGGGGGAAGCAGCCACGCTGGACTTCAGAAGGGTCCCAGGGCCCTTGATGCCCAGACTTGCCTGGCAGCAAAGAGTAGTCAGCAGCTGCTGTCTGACCTGTTATGCCAAGTTATGCCTAGCAGCCCACTAACTGAGGAGAGAACCCTGGTAGCAATAGCTCTCCTCTCATCCTTTCCTCTCTGCCCCTCCAGTAAGCCCCATCCTGAACGTAAGCCACATCCCCCTCCGCTTTTCCTCTTTACTCAGCTCCACACTCCTCCTCCAGGCTTTCCATTCCCACAGCTGTTCGCCCCCTCCCTGCACCCCTCCTCCTGCATCCACCTCGTTAAGCGATTATACATAGAGAAAACCGAGCCTTTGAGTTTCAAGCCAAAGCTCCCAGACAAGGCAGCCGGGACCGGTTCACCCTCACAGGCATCTCCCTGACCGCCTTGCACACGTGCCTCCGCCTAGACCCTCCTCTCTGCCCAAGCACTCTGAACATCTCTTTGCTTCAACCTGCCAACAGATCAGATGGAGCCCTGGGGTCCCCGGCCTCTCCTCTCCCCACATGGAGCTCAGAATTCACACAAGGAAAGGAAACAAGGAGACTTCCACACCTCTGCAGCATCACCTGCTCCAGCAAGCTCCCAAAGCCACTGGAGCCAGGCAGACTGCCTGGGCCCCACACCCCCTTCTCTGACGGCTTTAGCTCCAGCCCAGCCCACAGGATGCAGTGCCTGATGCCACTTCCGAGCAGACACACACACACACACACACACACACACACACACAGAATGCCACCTCGTCAATGACAAGCTGTTCCAATCACACAGCTCGGACCCCAAGCGCACCGGACAACGGACAGCCCAGGCCTCCACCCTCTGACTGGGAGGAAGCCAACTCAGCACGTCTGGGGAAGTGATCCCCCACCGCAAGCCCTCCACTCACCCTCCATATTTGAACTGACAGCAGTGCTCTATCCTGGTCGGTAGTCTTCCCTGCAACTGGCTCCCACAACTCTGACCAACTACCCTCGTGGCCTTCGGGTGAGGCACTGCTCTCTCTCCTGTCCCAAAGCACAAGGAGACCCCAAACCAAGCAGGAGACCACCAGCGCACCACTTCTCCAGAGGACCAGAGTGAGCTGAAAACCAAGTACTCACTGTGGTGAAGTCTTGGTGGCCGCACTCCTGCCCTTTGAACTTGCAGTAGAGCATCATATCCTTCAGGTCATGGCCCACACGGTGCAGGAACTCCAGCATGCTGAACTGCTTGGGTTTGTAGTGCTTGAAGTTGGCCTTCTGCCGCAGGGCTTCCAGCACAGAGGGGTCAGCCAGATGGGGGTCCGGGATCTGCAAGTTGACATCCAGCAGGGCCAGCAGCTCCCCCGCATGGTACAGGTCGTTGGTGGTGAGCCTGGAGAACCGGAAGCCATTGAGGTTGCAGAGGGTCACAGCTGGGAAGACCAGGCTTTGAGCCACCACTTCATCCACCTTGGTGACGTGCTGGTAGGAGAAGTAGTAGGACACCCTCTCAGAGCTCTCCACCAGCAGCAGGCCCAGGGAGCCCACGAAGGCCACTGCCCAAAGCACACGCCGGATGGTCAGCGGCCCATACACGAAGATGTGGCGGATGCCATGGAGGGTGGAGGTGTTGGCGAAGATCTGGATGCTAGAAGGTTGCAGGCTGCCCTCGCTGGGGCTCTCCTTGAGGTCCATCGGGACCCTGTGCAGTTCCGCAACTGGCTTCAGGTTGGTCGAATTTCAGAGAAGAGTTCCCAGTCCTCGGGCTCTGCTTAAACCTTGACGTTCAGGGGAGAGAACGCAAGGCAAGCATCGGGCCAGACGCTGTGAGTTTATCCTGAGAGCCCAGCCGCACGCTGACAGGGGTGAGTGTTTATATAAAACCCATTCAAACTCTAGCTCCTGATTTTTTCCAGGCGATAAGGAGGGCTGGTTTTATTTAGGGAGACACCAAGGTGATGTGGAAGAGATGTGGGTGGGAAGGGAGAGCTTAGCCAATGGAAATAAAGTCCTCCCCCCTACACACGCCACTAGAGACAAGATTAAAAGCGAGAGCGAGGGAGAAAATGCTTAAAACAAGTCGCTGAGCAGCTCGGAGCCTGTTAACCAGCGCATAATGCCCCATGTTAACCATCCTGGGGGATGTCAGGGCGGCCACGCTGATGCACTGCGGTCGGGCGCAGCGGCACAGCCTTCAGAGCTCCGCCGCTCGATTCTTGTTCCCATGATGTTTTGGACTCCGGATGCCGTTTCTCGCCGCCGGCCTCCATCCCTCCTCTCCTCCTCCTCCAGGCCCCCTTTTGTGGGCAGAATTCCAAATGCCAGCGGCCGCTGCTAGCACAGGGGAGAGGAGGCAGCGCGCGGCACGGAGAGACGAGGACCGGTATCCGGAGACTGGGGACGGAAGAGGGGGGCGCAGACCGTGATCCATTCTCCCCCCGCCTTCCCGGAGAAAAGGGACAACCCCCAGGTCACAGAACCTGCCTGCTTCTCCCGCCCCAGCTTCCTGTCCCTGCTAGGCTGCCTTTGGGGGAGGGGCAGGGCGGGGGAGAAGGTCTGGTGGGGGCTGGGGACTTTCTCCAAGTTTTCTTTTTAGCCCTTTTTGAGGGGAGCTAGTGGGGGCTTCTTCGAGGGTTGACATGACACCCCGCCCCCCGGGTGGCAGGAAGACAGTGCTAAACTCCCAGGAGCCAGGTGTGAGGTTGGAGGCGGCATTCCTTTGCATCAATGTCAGGGATCCCAGGTTAGACCCAGCCTGGGATCTCCAGAGCGGAGAATGCTAAAAATGCAGAAGGAAGGGGGCGATCCAAACCCACATTGCCTCTGATGCAGACAGCGAGGGGGCATTCTAGGGGAGCAGCCAGGAGCCCCTCCTGAGACAGAAAAGCCAGGTTGCCCCTGGAGCCTCAGAGAAAGAGCAACAAGTAGTCCCCTCCCCCGCCCCCACATAGCTGTCGGGATAGTCTGTATTTGAAAGAGAAAGACAACTGGGACTCCAGGTAGGACTGGCTGCAAACCATTCCATTAGGGCAGTGTGTGTGTGTGTGTGTGTGTGTGTGTGTGTGTGTGTGTGTGTGTGTGTATTCTGATCCTGATTTGTCAGATGGAAGCACAGCTGGAACTATAGGTGGGAGCAAAGAATTAGTCTTTCCGCCGCCTACCTCCTTTTTCCTGAAACTCCACTGGCAGTCAGCTCCTGCTAGCAAGTGTGTGTGGCTTGCCCTTTTGTCCCATGCCAGAGCTCAAATGACTAGAACCTACCGAATCAATGGTGCTAAATCCCCATCAGGAGGAAGAGAACAGAAAGTCTGAGTGGCCATCCCAAGCCACACTGCCAAGCTGGGGCAGAGCCACATGGAGTCACCTTGATGAGCCAAGTTCTCATCTTCAGGGCTTTCCAGGCTTAAATCATACTCCTTGGACGATGGTGGAGAAGGCAGCTGAGGGCATGTCCCTCTAGGTTTAACTCTACTCTGAAATATGTTTTCATCCCATCTGGACCCCTGCTAAACTAGGTCCACTGACAATAACGTCCAGGTGCACTCTGAGGCATTAATCAGTGGTTTATTGATCCTGGGAGCTCAGAGAACAGAAGCATCACAAGCAAGCACAAATGGCCAAGGCTGATAAACTTCACATATTTGTTAACCAAGAGGTCCTGGACTTCTAGGATAGGACACAGGTTTTTAAAGCAGGAGGATCAAAATTCACAAAGGTCTACCATGTGTCAGGACCTGTGTGAGGGTGTCATATCATCTTACTTATCCCTCTTAACTATCTTGACAGGTTATTATTCCTATTGTACAGGTGAGGAAGCTGGGGCTCACAAAAGTTAAGTGCTATGTCCAAGTTACAGTTTGTGGTGTCAGAGGTGGGACTTGAACTCAGGCATATTTGTCTCCAAAATGCAAGTTGTTAAAGCAGATCCGGAACACTTCTTCCCAAATTTAGGAAGGGAGCAATCCTTTCTATGCCTTATCCCTGATTACACACATACACACACACACACACACACACACATACACACATGTCAGTTCCTCACTTATATAAAACAGCTCTATGCCTTTTTTTTCTACCACACCACACCTCTGTTGTCTTTTTTTCTTTCTTTCTTTCTTTTTTTTTTCCAGCTCCAGGCCCTCTCCTACAGGAAGACTTCCTGGATTAATCTGCTAATCTTCAGCTCATCCACCTGTTTAATAGGTATGTTGGCCTCTAACTCTGTACCAGGCACTGTATGGTTTTGGGGAAACAAAATTAAATACATGTCCTTCCTTTGATAACTCAAGGATCAGCGGGGGAGGAGGCAGAGAGATAGGTATGCACACAAGTCCCTGCTCCACGGCGTGGACAGCAAGAGAAGCAACATGGCTCATGGGCTCCTGGTATTAGCGCTACCCAGCTGGAAATCCTGTTGCTCCATATCCCTTCATGTTCCTTCCACCTCCAGCCGTCTCCCAGGCTGCATTCCACCCTCCTCCCCACCAGCCTAGATCTGTTTTCTCCATGAAGCCTCTTCTTTTCACAGGATCATATTTTCTCTCAGTTCATATCCCAGACATGTTTTCTCGTGTGTGCAGAGATGGGTCTTGGGGTTGCTCTAATTGCTCCTTTCCCATTTAGACTCTGACTGCTTACCTCTACCCTTCCACATTCGTTTGTTTTAAGGATTATAAACATAACATGGTGCCTTTGACCTTGGGGGAAGTGACTAAACTTCTCTGAACTTCAGTTTCCCCACCTCCAAAATGATGGAGCTTAGAATCCTGCCTCATAGAACTTTTGTTCAAATGAAATGAGGTCTGGATTATAAAGTGTCTGGTACAATTTAGACGCTTAGCAATTGACACTTTCTCTCGATGACTACGAAGAGAACATTCTTTTTTGATGTTGGTGCTCTCTTACAGGTGATTGGAGAACGGTTGATATCTCTAGCAGACATCATTTGCCCAGAGCAGTGTTTACCTGTTAATGTCACCATCCCTTCCCGGAGACCAGGGTCAAACACACTCCTCATGCTGTTCTGCTTCCTGTCCATGGCCTTAAGGTCTTCTCAAAGTCTTCTGAAGCAGCTCTTGACTAAAGCTTTCCAAGAGGGTAAGGCAATTTAGGGTGGGAGGCAGGAACTAGAAGAGAATAGCCCTAATGGTGGATTTCACAGCCGGGCACTTGGCTCTGTGCTTAACATTTGGTGGATGTTATCAGTAACTCTGAGAGGAGGGTACTGCCAAGCCCATTTTACAGATGAGAAAGCTGAGTACAGAGAAAACAGCTAACTTGCCCAAGGTCCCTCGGCTGAGGGAGAGGGCTCAGCTGAGGCAGAGGGCTTAAATGTCAAATCCAGGTACGTCTGAGTCTGAAGGGTGTGGTCTACACTCAATAGATACGCTTCAACAAGACCTCAGTGGCACAAACTATCATGGCAACGGTCTCGAACAGGAACTGAATTATAGAATATTCTTTAAGAAATACTGCTATAACATTTTCTAGCATCTGTAGCAATTCAATTTGATGGCTAATAAAATGCTTCTACATATCTCTTCTTAAAAACCCTCTTTAATTGACAATACTCATTTGCAATTAGCAGTACGGTTTACATAAAGGCATCAGATATTCTATGATTCTTAAAAATGCTCTTGTGTTATTCAGTTGGTTAAACATTCCCCTCTTCAATCAGGTCTACAATACCTATTTGCTTGGCACTAGTGGTAACAGAGATTGGTTTTGGAGTGGGTCAATTTGGCCCAGATTTTTAAGCATTGACCTAATTGTGTATAATTATGGTCTTTTTGGTGAAGTGTATGACAAAACATTAAAGAACTTTTCAGACAAACTCATTTGCAAATCAGGCAATTTAACCCCCTACTAGACCACATGCCCATATTTCTGCTGTGGCAAATTTATTCATTTATGAATAAATAAATGAAGTCAGGAATTAATTTACTCTCTATGACCCTGAGATTTCTACTCTGAGATGCAAGGAGGGGGACCCTCTTCTAACCCTGGGGAACCTAAGGCCAGTCCTGAGCCTGGTTTCTGGGGAGGGTCAAAAGCTCAGGGTACAGCCTCCTGCCTCTGCAAAGAATAATAGGCAGGAGAGTTAAGGAAACTGAGATCTACAATCAGCTCAGCTCGAATGCTAATTTGCTACTTAACATGTGCTGGGTACATGCCACTGCCACCACCCCCTAATTAGGGGGGGAAAAACATTCTGTTCTAGTAAACAGATGACATTATAATTTGAAACTCCGTGACCTCGAAATACAACTTTTCCCTCTGGTTTGTCATCCCCATAAAGAAGGGTTAAAGATCAACTATTGTAAAACCAAAGCATCTCTTTGCTGTTGGTTGGTTTATAAATAAACACCTCATACAACACCTATTCCCATTTAGTTACCTGGTGAACACTTAGCAAGTACTTTGTCATGACAAGTATACCAGGGAAGCGTGTGAAGCAAAGCCAGACATTTAATGGGTAGTTCACCCAGATTTTGTCTATAGCTGGTTTTCTTTTTTCTTTCCAGGCAAAACCTACGGTACCAGTCCACACTGAGTGGACCTCTGGGGCTCCCAACTGCCGATTGACCTGAACCCCAGAGTGAACTCGTGTTGCTTTGTGGCTTTAGGAAACCTTGTAACATCTCTGTGCTGTTTTTTCATATGTGCTAAATCATTCCTGAGGCCTCCTCCTCCTGCTGCAGTTTGACAAGCCTTGACCAAATCATAAACTCCCAGTTAATGGGATAAAAATGAGCTTGAATCTGGGATTCTGGTCATTAACCCCATGTCACCATCTGGTCCAGCAGTTTGATGGCAGGGCTAGGTGAATTCTAATCACCCAACACTTGTTAAACTGCAGATTCCTGCTTCCCCACCCCTGCTGACTCAGCATCTCTGGGGTGGGGCCTACAAAGGCTCTCTTCCTTGATGGGGTTATTGAGGGCAGCTCTGGTAACCCACCCAGGACCAGACCTGATGAGGAGTTTCTCCTATGCATCAGGCACGCCGGATCTGTTTGCGGAGTTTCATACTTGGATTTTCCTCTGCCTGGAGAGTTCCTTGCAGCTGGCTTCTTCTGTGTCATGGCCCCAGAGAGGTCTTGGCTGGTCTCCCTATCTCCACCCTCCACCATGCTCACTATTCCATTACAAGTTTCCTTTTCTACCCAGTACTAATCATTTTCTGCAGTTCATCTCATCTCCTTGTGAACTATCTGTTGGTCCCACCAGAAAGTAAGTCTCCACCTAGGGGCAGAGACCCTGCCTGGCTTGTTAGAAGCTATATCCCCAGGATTGAAGCATATGAGAGATGCTCAGAAATATAAAAATTAATGAACAAATGAACTCATGAGTGAATTCATTCAGCTCTGATGCTGAGGTTCCCTCTCTGAGATGAAAGAATGGGGGACCTTCTAATCCTGGGGAACCTGGGGCCTGCCCTGAGCCTGGTTCCTGAGGCAGGTGAGGAACCAACCCCGCCAATCCACTCAACCCCGTCGATTGTTACCCCCGCCACCCAGGGAAGACCTCACTGGAGCCAGAGTCAGTGTAGGGGGCAAGAGGAGTCTGTGCACCCAGAGAATCTTGGCTGAGGTTGCCTGATTTTAAAAATCGTGACTTCAGGAGCTATTGACCAAGTACTCCTTAGCTTCATTGTCTACAAAACCACAGGTGCAGGTGAAAGTTGACATTAGGTATGAACTGAATACTGTTTAGCTACCCTATTCAAAAAATTGTTTTTGTTTGTTTGTTGAGACAGGGTCTCACTCTGTCACTCAGGCTGGAGTGCAGTGACATGGTCATAGTTCACTGTGGCCTCGAATTCCTGGACTCAAGCTCTCCTCCTGCCTCAGCCTCCTGAGTAGCTGAGACTACAAGGTGCCATTACATCCAACTAATTTTTTAAATTTTTTTTGTAGAAATGAGGGATCTTCCCATGTTGCTCAGGTTTGTCTCGAACTCCTGACCTCAAGGGATCCTCCTGCCTCAGCCTCCCAAAGCAGCGGCCACAGGCATGGGCACTGCACTTGGCATAAAGAAATATTCTGTCTTCACTTCTAACTTGGAATGAACTGCTTACCTTGACACTTCCCATACCGGCTTCTCTCCACTTTTCAATCTAACAGGATAATGATGTCATACAGAAATAACTTACAGTAGGTATTTAGTAAATGCTGGTGTGCAATATGAAATAAAATTCACAAGAGGAATTCCAACCTGTTCCTTATCCTCAAATAATTTTTTAATAGTCAAAAATTAGTCTGAAATTTGAGTCCTTGCCCTTCAGTATAAAATCAGTAGCTTCTAATTTTCCCTTATTTTGTTTGCTTTAAAGAGGCACACCTACCTATAGTCCCTTAGTCATGTAAAGGCTGACACCTCCCCACTGGTCTGAAGTGGGGCTTCTGGACCATGCCTGATCGCAGCCATCTGATCCTAAAGAACCTTTAACCAGGTACCTTTGTTTAAAGAAACAAAAGTCCTCTCCTAAATAAAAAAAGCAGGCCTGGCTCGAATCTCTCCAATGGGTGAAGGAAAGTACCCAGGAGCAGGAGACTTGGATTTCTGATTTTATTTCATGTTGTTTCCCTTCCTCAAAGGTGTGAAACTCCACCCCACACCACTCCTTTCCTGTTCATCCTCTACTGGAAGTGTTTTTCTCTAAATAATTTTTATTTTCTATTTTTGTCTGTATGTGTTCTCGTCTTTTATTCTACTTCTGCCCCTCTTTCCCCTGGGAAGGAAAAATAGAAGAAAGAAGCCATCTCTGTTTGCTTTCTCTCTGTCACTCAATCTCTGGAGCCAACTGCTTCACAAATAAAGAGAAATGCACAGAGAGTCCCTGAAGCCCACCATCAACAGACAGACTTTCAACAAAACTGTATCAGCACCACCTGATACAGGTGGAAAGGAACAATGCTAGAGAAGTTCGTCCTTGCCCGGTTCCTGGGTGGAACTTCCTCTCCCCCTTGTGTTCTACGCGTGTGGTTACAGCTGCCTCTGATCTTTGGTGACCAGCGGTTGGCAGTGGTGGTATTTTAGCATACCTTGATCATCGTGATTATTACACAGCTTCCTTTACTCAACAACCCCACCTACCCTCTTCTAGCCATACCCCCCACCTCCTCCCATCTCTATCCATCTCTCCACTTTTTAAAAAAATACTTGTGTGTACAGATCACAGCACACTTCATTTATGTGCCTATGCACATTTGAGGACTTCCATATTCCCCACACGAGTAGTTGTGTATTCATTTTAATTCACTTTATTTCTTTCCTATCTCTTTCATAAAATAAAATGAAATAAAAGTAATGAAATGAGAATAAGAAAGAGAAAACTAGAACTGAGGGGGAAAAGGAGAAATGCATCTATGTTTGTAATCACGTTCATCTTTCTCCATGCATCATTATGCGTACTATAATGAATTCATTACACGTATTTTAACATGTAGGCACTACATGGGGATGTGGTGTGTACTTACCACCTCTATAGTGGTAGGCACTGCAAAGGAACAAACAAAAGGTAAAAGGCATAGTCTCTACTCTCATGGGACTTTTCACCTCATGGATGAGGCACTCATAATGTCTTTTATCTGTGTCCCACTTGATGTGGAACTCTTTAGTAGTCATGATCCTATTCGATTTCCATAAGCAGAAGAGGGGCCACTGTTTCCATGTTATGACAGAGGAAACTGAGGTTCAGAGAAGGACCCTGATGAGATAATAAATGGAACTGGGACTCAAATCCTGGTTTCCTGACTCAACATTTCACATTCTTTCTACTCTGTCATTATTCATTAGTCAAGTTTCTCCACAGACAACTCACTGAGCCACAACATATGAAGCAGCATGGTAATGCCACTAGACTGGTCACGATCAGAAGACGTGGCCCCAGGGAAGAGAAAGCAAGAGAGCTGGAGAGAGCAGAGAAAGCATCAAGGAAGGGCTTGGCTGTGCAGCTCTAGCCGGGAAGTCCTTCATTTCAGTCCCCGAGTGTCCCTGTGTGTCTCATCTAAAAAGCAAAAAAAGAGGAGAACTAGAGCTTATGGTTGAAGGCGTGAGAATGAGGTGTCTTTTCCCTCTATCTCTGTAATACACAAGTATAAATACTATATATACATATGTATATGTGTTCCTTTTTTCTGTGTCTGATTATGCATGCAATTTAGCAAGGATTTATTGCCTAATTTTGGTCTGGGCACTTTGCTAACATGATGGGGGAGGATATCAAGAAGTAAGGGACACAACTTCATTGTCCCCAGAGACTCCTGGGGGTGGGCAAGGCAAGGTGTCTGTTCATACTGCTGGGGGAGCTCTGGATTAGGGGACATCAGGAGACATGACATTGAAATGTCCTACACAGTTCTCTGTACAGATTGGATTTCCATGGAAGAAAGAAAATCAACATGTATTGGGAGTCAACATCTCATTCAGTCCTGTGAGTTTATTCTGCCTGTTTTTCAGACAAAGAGACTAAGGTTTCAAGAGGGTAAGTAAATTGCCCACAGTGTCACTGCTGGTGTGAGAATGAGCTTTGGGGTCATTGAGTCATGTGCTGCCCAGGTACCTTGTAAGGCCGTGAAGTGTTATGGGTAAGGGTTTGGGTGCTGCCATCCAGGTGATTGTGGATGTAAAGCCTCGGCCCACCCACACCAGCAGTGTTGTTTGAAGCATGCTGTTGAACTTGCCTAAACTTCAGTTTGCTCATCGGTAACATGGGAACAGTAACAGTGCCCACCCCATAAGACTGATGGGAGGATGTGATGAGCTAAAGTGTGTAAAGTACCGATAAGTATCTAATAAAGTCCAGTAACTGTGTCACTATTAATACCATGGTTATAATCACTACTTTTGTCTAAAGGAGACCCAGGTGACATGAAGCTATTATGCCCTGTGGACTTGAGATCTTGAATTAGGGTTTGATTGTGAAACTACCAGACAAGTAGTGGGATTTAAATATTCATAGACCAGGGTCCATCTAGGTCTCGTGGGACAAGGAAGGGACCCTTACAGTTGATTACCCTGAGATGGGAGAGGAAACTCTTCTAGAGGCATTTACACCTTACTAAGCATTTCTGGTATATCAAGCTCTCTGCTAGCTTGTGAGGATGTTATGTTCATTAAGACGTGTTCCCATAGGCTCTGGTCCAGCTTCTACCAGTTTTTAGCTGGACCACTGGTTTCTCCTAAGACAAACACAGGAGCCAGATGACTTCTGTAGTGCCTTGTAGACCTAGTCCAGTCCTTGGTGGTTCTGTGAACATTCACCCAGGCTCTGTCCCTTAGAAGTACCAGCAGTCTTTCCAGGGGAGAGACTAAGGGACTCTTGCTCCTTCATCCTCTGTAATGGTTTGGAGCCTGAACAGCCTCCAGCCTGGGCCAAGTGATCTTGGAGGATGCACTTCTTTATCCCAGTCCCTCATCAGTGCCTCCTATAAGAGCCCCACCTGCTTTTCTGAGCAATTGACTCCTACATCCATATATCTCTACCACTCCTCAAACCAAACTGCCAACCACCTCTAAGGCAGCTATTGGTTTCACTGACCATAATGGAGTGTGTTCTGTGTGTAGTCACAGCACTAAACATCAGAAGGGATTCAAAGAGGAATCAGGCTAATGCCTTTCATCCAAGGAACTGGCAGATGGATGAGCCAGACTGGCATGCACGAAGTCAGCACAAGGGAATAGGCTGTGATGAAGCTGGGTGTGCAGGGGACTGAGAGAGGAATTAGCATTCAGTTTCCAATCCTAGTGCTGTAGCTGGCATTAAGGCATTCTATTACTCTCTCCAGACACAGTCAACTTTATTCTTCAAGATAGACACTTGCTATATGTCAATAACTATGCCAAGAATGTATATGCATTATATTAGTTAATGAGAGTTTCTCAACTTTAACACTGTTGACACTTTGGGCTGGATAATTCTTTGTTGTGGGGAGCTGTCCTGTGCGCTGTAGGATGTTTAGCAGAACCGTTGGCCTCTATCCACTAGACACTAGCAGCGCCACCCCCTTCCCCAATTGCAACAACCAAAAATGTTTGCAGACATTGTCAAATGTCCCCTGGGGACAAAATCACCTTCAGTTGGGAACCACTAAGTGAATCCTAATATAGACCAGTGACATAGGTACAGTGATCATTTCTACTTTACAGTAAACTGAGGCACAACAAGGTTAAACCATATGTCCCAGGTCACAGAGCTAGGAGGAGCTGGGAGCAGGGCCAATCTGTTTCCACAGCCCTTAAGCTTACTGTCCTTCCTGCTTTGCCTATCTCTGCATGCATGGTGATGAGAACTCTGTAATACTCAATAAACCCATGCAAAGATTTCTAATGTCAAGCCC